TCAGTGGCCTTTCGAAGTGTTATTGTTGTTGACAAATAGCCACTACACTGTTGATTCATTTCCATCTGGCCAGACGTTCATGAATCTTGGTGGAAATGTGAAGCACGGGTCGAGAAAGAACCCATTACATTTTGGAACGGATCTGAATCACAGAGAGGATACTGTGATTGAAACATTCGCATCTTTAAGAAATGCTGTGTCTTAATCATTCGCAAATGACAAACTGTTATTCCTTACTGCAAGTTCACAGACAATGATGTCCTTAATTAACCCGCTGTGTTGTGGTGATACTGTACTAGCTAAGGCCAGATAAAGACAAATAAACTTCAAATTAACTTAAAGACCAGTGTTGACTTTTGACTTTCACTTGCAGAAACTACCTTGAAAGATGTCTGCGCTCTCAAATTGCCTTTTTTTGTTTTATACTTTACTGTATGTTACAAGGCTTAAGAAAAAAACGAAATTCCGCTACACAAAGGCATATTTATTTACTACAAGGAGATATTGCTTCAACTTAAGGGTCCACTAGTGAAAAAAGGTGAAGAACTGCAGCTTTAAGGGACTGTGAGACCATTCACATGTAAAACAGCTGTCCTATTTGGGAAGTAAAAACAGACAGTGGTTTATCAGTCTGTAGTAAAGGGCCTTGTCCTTTACTGCAGCTTCCTTCAAACGTTTTCATAGAATCAGTTGAAAGATCTTCTAAATGGCAGAGGAGAGACTCACCCACATGGCCGTGTGCTCTGGATGAGGAGGACACCAAGACCATTTGCCAACTTGTCTGTGAGGCTCATTGATCCATAAACAAAGGCTGCACTTCCCTGCCAAACAAGAAAGATTTTGGAGATTATTATATCTCTGTGAATAAAACATACATTCGATTATTTTTAGAGTGACTGAAAAAGGACGAGAGGCAGTCAAAAGTGCTCTGGTGCAAACCAGTTGCAAACCCTCCCATTTAATTTCACAGCTGACAGCTTTACAAAAGCTTCCTCCAACATGACTGATCGGGTGGCACCAGAATGAATGGACTGTTTAAATATTCTTAGTATAACAACACAGGTTTAGTACGCTGAAGATCCTCAGTTAACTCTCCTGTGACTGCATGGTTGGCCCATTATGACGTGACATTTTAAACAAGAAGGTATCTGTTTGGTTTTTGGCCTTGTGACGAGATGTATCTAGAAATCATTTCTCTTGAACCTAAACCTCAAAGTAAAAATGACTTTTGTATTTACTTCTGAAGTGGCATGTGATTTTAAATATTTGTTTTCTGATGGATTAGCATTATTCTATTTTCTTTGGCCAACAAATCATGATCAACACTAACAATGTCTCCCTCTCGCTACTTCAACTTTCCCAATCCTGTTTATGTCCTCAATCCCCAAGCCCCTTTGTTTGTGTAAATCTTTAAAACTAGTAAAAACCAATTCAAATTAATGAAGTGCTCTCTTATTTGATTATTCATCTGGCTGTTCTAGTTTTAAGCAAATGTTACTCGAGCAGAAGTCACACATTATTGCATTTACCACTACATGTGCAGACAGTTTATGAACAATCAGTAGATTTACATGAGCGCTTACACCAACATGACTATTTTTGTGGGGGTCGCTAACTGAAATAGTTGAGAACCATTGTTTTATGACAGAGGAATAAGAAATATCAGCCTTTTGATAACAGATATTGTGGATAGGAGGAATTCATTATTTGTGGACCTTGTGGACTCTTCTACAAAGCTATAAAGTGCTGTTGGTTCCCTACAGTCTGCTCCCCGATGAGAGTGGCCGTCATGGACAGGGACATGACCAGGATCGAGGCTGAACCGGCTCCCAGCAGCACGGCAGCTCCGTAGATTGTCTCAGCTCCCATGCTCTTGTCCACAAGCACCCAGACGGCGAAGCCAACTACCAACAACAGGCCGACCAAATAGGTAATCTGAGACAAAACACATTCATAATTTCAATACAACCTTTCTCTCAAATCACAAATGTATCATGCAAGAGACATGAGTTAATAAAACAAAATGTATGGCTAACATGTTAACAGAGTTGTTACATATATCTTGTTAAGTAGAGACTCACACTGATTCCCATGCGCTTGCTGACTGGTTTCATAACCAGAGAGCAAACGAAGCCGCTGACATACATCACTAGAGGTATGATGGCAATGTAGTTCTGAAGAGAGAGGATATTTTTTATTTATTTTTCTACACGGACGTTAATTCACATAATTATTTGTGTAATCTTACCTTTGGTAACATCAGTGAGTTGGTGAGGTAAACTGAGATGTAGGTCTGGGATAAGTTGACTATTAACCTGGTGCACATGTACAGAAAAGCCACCTGGTGCAAAATCCAACAAAGAAAACAGAATTGACATTTGTGTTAACCATTTTTGAATGTATACACAGCTTCACATTTTATACTCATTCATTTTTTTTGTTTTTTACTCTTTTTCTAGGAAATATAAAAATTGTTTGGAACACTCTTTAATCTTACTGCATCGTGAAATTGATTAAAGTAAAGGCTGTTATTGTTTGTATTTCTCAATAATGTTTCAGTATTGATTCCAAGATCTCAAAATTGTCCTTTAAAGCACTGCTACATGTATTAAAAGAAAAACAAGGAAGATTTCTCTACAACATATTATTTTCTTAAAATAAAGCTGATTAAAATGGAGTCTGAAATGAATCAAACCAATTATATGAGGAAATACGTAATACAAAATAAATTAACAAGACATTCAGTGGTTTTTTGCATTGGAGTTGTTGAATTAATTTGGTCAGTGATCGTACTATTTCGAGATTTGACGTCGAGCCAAAATCAGTCACGTTTGATGAAGTTTAGATTTGCTTAATTTGAAAATTCTGCAATACATAATAATGCAAGTGTAACTTTAACTAATATGAATGCAGACTTCACAACATAGAGCAATGAATGTAAGCTAATGGATCAGGGTATGAAAGGAAAAGTACATTCACAAACAAAAATCAGCCGCTCAGATTTTGGACTCACCTGGTAGAAGGACGGCTCCTTCAGCCAATGCTTCCACTGAAACACAAGACCAGGCGACTCTTCCTGCGAGGTTGACGGTAGGATCCTCTGATTTTCACTCATTGAATCTGTCACCTCCTCTTTAGTACCGATGTGGAATACCATAGAGAATAAAGCTCCAGTAGCCAGCATAACCAGGGCCAGAGTCTACAGACAGCGAGCGGTAGATTAGGTACAAATAGTAACCCAATAATTGCACAAGTGTTAACTCTCTGACTGCCTCTATCCTCTTACTCTGAAAAGGGGGATGTCCACCTTGCCCAGGCTATCTGAGATGGAGGTGTCCATATTGTTCTGAGCCTGGAAGTGAAAGAGCAGCCAGGCCACACTGTACACGGTGATATTGGCCACCACAGTGAAGGCATACCTACACAAAAAGGAATATCATTTTATGTTTTACTGTTACACCTGGTCTTACAGTTTGGACAGCATTTTGGTGTGAATGAGATGAGGGTTGCACCTAAGAAATAGGAGAGATTGGGTAGGAAGCCAGAGAAAAGATTTGATGGAAGAATTGACCCTCATGATATCAGATACAGAACGATAACAAATATTCCAGTCTGAAAACTGTTCATTTTCATGTGATGACTTTGACAAAAGGTCATTTTGCAGACATCATTACCACATCTGTCTATTTATTCCTGATACCGTTGCTGAACTGTTAAAGCTTACTGTGAACTGCAAATGTTGTTGCTCTATCAAACTTATGTACAGTATAATCACCAGGACATGTTCTAAAGGACATAATGATAAGGAGTTTAACTTTGCTCGACTGTTAACCAATTGATCAGAGAGGAACCATGCAGTCACACAAGCTTTGACACCTGAATAGAAAAATGTGACTGCGTGTTTCAACAAAAGGTTGATTCGGCTTCAGATTCCTCATAAGGTGAAACTGCAGCTCTCAGAATTTAGATGAGACAGCAATCGAATTTAGTAAATCCACAGATAATTTCTGTAGTGGCCATTATTCAGCTAGTGGTTATTTGTTAGCGCAATTTGGCAATAACCTTTGTCGAGTACAAATTTGTTGGCACCTGATATAAACATCCAGCCCCTAGTGGCTCCTGTGCTGTGAGTAATTGTTGTTCAGTTGGTGCAAATAAACACAATAACGTTGTTGCGTGAGACATAATTCAGCAGACGTCTCCACGTTTGCAGTCAGCCAAAGTAGTGTAAGTATGCTAACGGACAGAAAAAACACACGACCACTATCGCTCAGAGTTTGGCCTGGAGTAAGAGCCGTTTATTGTTTCTGCGCATGCTCATTAGCATCACCACGTTTCAGGCACATTATGGTGATGTCATACACATGAACATAAACATGACTTTGATATTATACAAATATGCTCAACAAACGTGTTCTGTGGTGCTTCAAACAAGTACGTTACAAGTTAGTCAAGTTTGTAAAATATTAGCCTTCCCTATCCTGAGCCACACCAGCCGCCTATGACTTCATATTTGTTTGCAGCTGTTTTTATCTGTGTAATTGTTTTGTGTCTTTGAAGTCATTTTTTGTCTCCGAGTGACATTCTGTAGGTGAAGGCCAGGGGGGCACAGGCCTGTGTCTGTTAGGTCTGCCAGTAATCTATTACTTAGTTTAGCATGAAAACCGGACACGGCTAGCCTTTCAACAGCTAGCCGGGCTGTGTATGGAGGTAAAAAAACTGCATTCCATCACATCTAAGCTATTGTTTGTTTAGTTCATACATAACCAAAGTTTAGCTGTTTTTGACAGACGCAAGAGATGTTACGTTTGATAGGAGAGGATAGATATATATATATATAAAAAGGAAAAGTCGGTATAAAACTTTTTTTTTGTTCATTTTCAATCTCGAGTGTCTACGTGATGAAGTCACCCACCTGTACGCGGTTAGCTCCACCCTGTCGCTCTCGCTGGACACGAGCCCCGGGATGAGGGAGAGGTGAGAGATCTGAGTGGCTGCCCATCCGATCTGGAAAATGATGATGAAGGGCGAGAAGTAAAGTATTTGAGCCCACTGAGGAGTGCTGTCGTTACAGGCCAGGCATGGGTTGAAAATGAATGGAAAAGAAACAAGGACACAAATCGTTCCTGGGAAAACAAAAAGCGGATTGTTTTTATTATTTTTAAGAATGATTAGATTCTACTACCTTTTGAGAATACATTTTTTTATCTTTACCCCAACACATTTATTTATCTGCAGATTGAGACTTTTGATAGAAAATATGAATTAATCAATTATTATTTAGGCTATTAGTATTCACTGCAAAATGTATGTGATGTTCACAGATTAATGTTTCACCAATAATATACATATCACATATGAACCCGATAAGAGTCACCTTGCATGATTGCTAACATCAAGTGCATATTTATGATGACACACTGTTTAGCCTACTTTTACTTGAGTAAAGTTTTAAAAGAAGGATTTTAAGCTGCAGTATTAGGCTTTACTTGATGAAGATCTGAATACTGATTATAAATCGTTTTCTGATACGTTGTGCTATTTTTGCTTGAAATAGTTCTGTACTTTTAAGTCAACACATTTTCTCGGGTAGGCTACTTACCAAACAAGTGCCATGTTTTTCTCTTGCCATAGAAGCACGATGTTTTGTCGGATTGATATCCAACCAAAGGCGTAGAGACTCCGTCAGCTATCTGCCCGATCAGCAGCAACACACCTCCATAGGTGCTTCGGAAGCCGAGCACGGAGTGGAGGTAGACCAGCAGGTAGGTGAACCACATGGAGGAGCACAGGTCGTTGAGGAAATGTCCTGCAGCGAAACAAACCCTTCTGCAGGCTGACAGAGAGCGACCAGCAGGCACAAACTGCTCCATGATTGATTTGACTCCTGTGATAAAACTTCCTTTATTCACAATAAGAGATCTGTCGTTGTCATATTTACAAATACATAATGCAAATAGTTACACTAACAGAGCAAAACACAGTTCAACCTTGTTCTGAGCATCTCCAAAAATATCCTTAATTGTTAATCATATAATAAATCGCAATGTAATGGATTATGTCAAGCTGGGTCCCCATGCTGGTCAGCTGAACCGGTTAATCGTTCAGCTGAATAATTAATGCGCAAACAAAAGCTCTTCTCAGCTATGAGCGGCACCTAAATTAACGTTAACACCTAGGACTTCACGCGTAAAGGCGCACTGCTGGCGCGCGTCCTTGCAGCATCCGGAGATGTGTCCTGTTTCTAAAGCAGACTACACGCCTCCGGTGTGGTAACATTAATCAATAACAAAGCGGTGGTCATGAACTGTGAAAACTCGTGAGTTACAACAGTTACCAAACACAGTTGGTTCCTCTTTCTGTTCTTCACATGGCGAGTGATTCAAACCCACTTTAGTCCTCTTAGTCATGCTTACACAAACAAACATATCCCCTTCATAACTTAAACAAAATGATTTGTAGACACAAAAATAAAGAGGATGAGATTAAAAGCAAGCAAAATGTGTAAATATTTCTTCTGTTTTTACATCGCAGTTGTGTTTGGATTTGTAAGTGGAAAAACAATTCCTTTTCATTACACACATGTTATAGTGATCATGGTATGGGTTAGGGTTAGTTTAAGTTGAATGCTCTTGAAGCTCAGGCGGTGTTTTTAAAGGGCACTCATTCACAAAAGTTGAGTAATTCAGTTCTGGGGTGGAGCTTTGTAAAGGCTGAAAAAAAACCTGGGCTTGACACATAACATTTTTTACAAAAAAGCCTGCATTACAAAATGGACATTTTGGGTTTAAAGTGGAAGGAAAGGTGTATGAAAGATACCACCCACCTGCATTGTGGGAAATGTAGGATCAGTGTTTTCTGGACCCCGTTTCTAAGAATAACTTGCTGCTGCTTTGATTTAAACCTGTTTTAAAAAAGAATCTGTTCATATAGTCAAATATGTAAGTCATTACTATTACATAAATAGTAGTGTATTAATCTGTTTCGAGTCCCCCATTTTTATGCATGTGCAATATCAATATAGCTTGAGTACTCTAAATAACTAAAGACATTAAACGTTGCAATCTCTGATGGGCTAGAAACTTCAGGAGGGGATTTAAAACAATCCTGAACACAGGCAGAGACAGACATACATCTTGGCCTGAAAACTACAAAGGAATGATCAAAGAGGTACACGTTAGAGCTTCAACAATTATAGTCGATTAAATATAAAGGATTGCAAAAACATTCTATAAGTCAAATAACTTCTTTTTTTTGGTTGAAAAATGACAAGCATTGAATGGTTCAAGGTTTTCAAATGTGAGAATGTTCAACTCATTCGCAGCTCTACAAGGAACTACAGCAGCAGCAAGGAACTCAAAGGGAACATTTTTTTTTTACAGTTCAGTGCATTTTGAATTTTGGAAAGGTTCCTTTGTTATCAGGCTCAGAAACAAACAGCAGCCCATTAACTTCAGAGACGATGTAGCCACGTACAGTCTGTGGATGTAGCTCACAAACAAGAAACCTCATTAAGGCCATGTCTGACTGTGACCTCCTGACAGAAAGAAACAATAGTTCAAACATACCAGACAGCACGCACACACTCACACACACAATCCAGATGTCTCTCCAGACCCAACAACACAACTGTACAGATGTGTTGATTTTTCATTGTCAGGGGGAAGGGAAGGGATGTATACTATTATGTTGGAGCAAATGGTGTGCACACAGCCATTAAAAACATTAACTTACAAAAACCTCCACACACAAACACACACAGAGACACAGTAATCCAGTGAGCATTTGGGACAGATTAGAGAAAATCTCATTGCGGGACACTCAATTGAGCTTTAAACATTTTACTTAAAAAGGCACAAACTATGATTTCCTGGTAAATTATTTTGATGTAAGAAATAAAAATGGAAAGACATATCCTTTTTTTTCTTCATGTAAATCGACATAACATTTTTCCATAACTCAGATATAAGCGTTGTGAAGGACTCCTCCCTAGATCAGTCTTTATTAGGATGTTTTTCTTAATTGTTAATTTCAAACCCTTAAGTTTTCCACTGTAATTGTTTTATTTTTTCCAAAAGTGCAATAATAATAATAAGAGAGCTTAATATCTGTTTCTCTCGATCTCCCACAGTACCTGAGGCCAGTGACTGTGCTACAAAGTCCACGTTGACGGACAGAAAGAAAGCCAGAGTGAAGAAAACAAATGGAACTCCAGAACACTACAACATAAAAAGAAGTTTTCAATGCAGGGATTTGATTTTGAAAACTGAGGATTCAATTACAAAAAAAAGAAAAACATAAAAATCCTCCAAATTCAGTTTTAGAGATGAAATGCTTCCTGTGTCGCTCAGATTTAACATCAGCATGGTTCACCTTTTCCTCTTTACCTTGATCCCAAAACACACACCAAAGGAAGAAAAGAAAATCCTAAAAGGAGCAGATTTCTTTCATGTGAACCACTCGAATGGTTCCCCTGATCAACAGCTGACAACAGGTGCTCTTATGGAATCTAGAATACACAACTGTTTCAAACAGTATCTTTTTTCATATTCGAGCCACGGTATTCGAGTTTCATTGTTACAGCCTTTTTTAAAACTTTTTCTCAAGCCTCCGTTGTAATGCAGGTACGTTTATTTTTCGTCGATAAAGGAATCAAGAGTCTGTTGTGGAGTCAGTAGGACTGCAACATTCCTTAAACTCGCCAGTAGCAGGGAGCACTGAGAACGAGAAAGAGACAGCGCGAGGGGGGGGGGGGGTACGAGAGTGACAGTGGGAATAAGGTGAGAGGGATAAAGAGGTGAGGGGGGAGCTGGAAAGAGATAGGGGACAGAGGGGGAGTCTGTGTAGTTGCTTCCATTTAAAACTTGACCGTGACCACAATGTTTCAAGTTCTCTTTCCGTGCTCTTCTTTCACTTGTGCCTCTGGAGGGCTTTCCTCTTTCTCCTTTTGAAGAAACAACAGCACCTGCAGGACAACAAAGGAACACTTTCAGTTCAGAAATAAAACATTTTGAGACACATCCATACAAAATATATTTGTTTATCAAAAAATCGTTCAACACACTGCTGGTTAGGGTTGGGTTTCAATAGCTCATGCACTGAATCACCTACGATCAACCTTCCCCTCATAAAAAGCAAAGCGCAATGTAGAAAACGTTCAGTGCATTTACATGCTTTCTCCAATTAGTCTGTTAGTTATCGTCAAGTAAAACAAGAAACCTAGTATCCGTAGTTGAGCTAGTGGATAAGACATTCCTAATTTTCCTTAAATACATTTTTCCTAGAGAAAGCAGTCTTGGCCATCTAAACCCCGTTTCTAATCTGCCGTTTACAAATAAACATGGCCTGACAAAGACTACTTAAGTGAGATAATATAGATACATTTCTATAATTAAAATAATTCACTAAACAAAAAGTAGACTCTCCGGCTACATGGATTGGTTTTGGATGCTGCACAACTGTTTGTAAAATGTAGATCAGGAAGCAACATACAACATGTATGTCACATCACAACATCAGTTAAGATAAGTGAGTAACGCTTCCTTCATAATGTTTGGGAAGGGGAGTAATCAAATGAAGATTGAGAAAATAAAAAAATGTTTTCTGAGATCAAATTGACCCCGGTATTTAGAATCTTTAAAATGCTATTAAACCCCAACCCTACTGCTGGGAAAGCCGTTTCATACTTGGTTTCGTCAGCCACTTCAACCTCAGTGGGAGCGTTGATGGGAGCGTTGGAGTGTCCGGCTGTGGGATCATCAGTGTTCAGCTCGCCATTTGTTGAACTCATCACCTGCACGAGGACAGACAGGACACCAGAATAATCAAACAGATATATTGAGAAGCACTGACAGCAGGGTGGGGATGAACGCTCACATACACATTTGTAACCTTGTTTAACTCTAGTTATGTTTCCTCTCAGATAAGGAGAGCCTCAGCATGAAACCTTCACAGAAACTCAAAGCTTAGGCTCCCATTTGTTCATGTTTGTCTTAAAACAAAAGTTAGGTGCCCACATAGACATTGAAACAGGCTTGCTGTTATCAGTCCTCCTGGTTCAAATTACCTTTAAGAGTCACAGCAATAAGTTCAATGTTTTAAAGTTGAAGCACTTGGTGTAAGTGAGCTGTAGACTGGTGAGTTTAAATGTCTGGATTTAGTCCGACTCAAATGAACTCAAAAAGTTTTAAATCCCCAAATTGAACAAACTGACTGCTGAAGCGTTTCACTAGCTTCAGATAAAAAGAAAATATGAAAAAGGTCTTTAAATATGTCCGTCATTTTGCTTAGTATTAGTAGAGGAGGAATGGTAACATCTATTTTGGTTTGTGTATAAGAGCACGTAAATACTGTTGTAAAAAACACATGAACATTTTGAACATATCCCTTTAAAGCTGCAATTCTATAAGCCAACAGTAGGTGGCATATCTGTTCCACAATTACTGCAGAAGCCACTACTTTTTTTAAAAAGGCATACAATTGGCCTTTTTAAGTTAACATAGTTCAAGATTTTTTCATTTCATGTAGATGGCTCTACCAGAATTCTATTTAGGGAATTTAAAAACAAATATACATCTAATCTGCTTTTGGCTTATCAATTAATAATGTGTTTTCTAATGATTTAAGATTCTTCATTTTATGAGGTTTGCATGACAGTCGCTTTTAAATGCCATCTTTGCATGGCCCTTCCTGTGGGCTGCCTGCACAGCAGATGAGGTGAAGGAAGCAGCGAGTGCGAACAGAACAAGCAAAGCACTGACACACAGGGATTCAAAAAGTGGGATGCAGACAGAGAGAGAGGGACAGAGAGAGAGAGGAGAGAGACAGAGAGCACCTGACAGGCAGGCAGTGCAGATTCAGTGTGAGAGGGGGGGTCAGACACATACAGAACAATGTGGTTTCATGCATTAGCCACCAGAGCAGCAGCAGCAGCAGCAGCAGCAGCAGCAGCAGCAGTACCTGAACAGAGCCCCCCAGCCGCTCAGCTGTGAGGTGCGACCCCAGAGTCTCCTTATTGGTCACTGGAGTGGGCTGAGACTCACTTCCTTTGGGCTCAGGCGACTTGACGCAAAGAGCAAAAAGGGTTGAGGCAGGTGTTCGTGAAGTGGTGAGAAGGAGGAGGAGGAGAGGGGGGAAGGTTGTGGGGTGAGGGCGAGACAACGTTGTGGTGGGAGGGGGGGTGAGGGTAGAGGTGTTGAGGGAGGAGGGACAAGGAGGAAGGGGAGTGAATGAAAACAAAAACAAAAAAATTAAAGAAGACATCCTCCAAGCAGAAGCAGGCTTGTTAAGACAAACTATGTTAATAGAGGAGTAGAGGGAAGCTAAATGTAATGCGAAGCACAGAATAACACACTGTCAAAGTCATGCAGGAGTCAAAGAAAACAGCCTTGGTCCCCTCAACTAGCTCTGCATATTCAACAGACACACAATACTACTACTGTATTGAGAATTTGAGTAACAACATCACAGGTTTAAATAAGACTATTTTTTTTTAACATTGTGCTTTTGTTTGTAGACATTGAAATTGACTCTATACTTTAATAATCAATAAATATAACCTGAAAATACAGGTTAGTACAGTCATGGGAAATGTGCTGTGAACTGGAGGCGGTGCTTTGTGAGGTTCAAAAGGGTGGCAAGACGTTGCCCAGCCAATCTTGTAACATGGAGAGCCGTAAAAAGAGGTTAGAGTCCAATCATAAAATCTAATGCACGCCTTTTGTGGCTGTACGGGAAACAATGAGTCAGACTCATCAAGTAAAACAACCTGATTTCCGGGTTTTGCGTCTATCAGAAGGATATCTTTATAATGATCTACCCTTTCACTGAACAACCAAAGAACAAGGCTCGGATAGCATGCTTACAAAAGGACTAAATAAAAAACAAATATATAAATTCAACACTTTGTCACACACTAAGCATATAGCTTGTCATTATTGGTATGAACAATGCAAATTGCATTTTCAACTCATGCATGCAATGACTGGAGCTAAGAGTGGCAAGGTGTGAAGAATAAATTGAAGCTGAAAACGGTGCTTTGTTTCCCAGCTGGAGGAGAAACTGCCTCATGATCGTGCACGTCTACTCATCTACTGGTAAAGCATCAATATTGTCCGACTGAGACTTTCAGGGAAGGTGATGTCACTGCAGCCGGACTGTAGACAGGAACATGAATCAAGGAGAAGTGGAACTGAGCGGCAGCCATTTTCTCCAGGAAGTTCATTACACTTGGGCAGAATAAAAGAAGCCTGGCAGAGGAACCTGAATGACCAGGCCGGCTGGTTGGTCGGTCAGATGGCTGCTTGACAGATTGGTTGATGGGTGTGATGTTTGTTGTGTTTTACTGCTGATGGCCTCACCTGGTTTTTGGTCTGCTGTTGTGCTTTGTCTCTGCTGCTGGGCTGCAGGGGCGTGTCACCGGGGATAGGGCCTATTGGTGTGGGCTGTAGGTAAGACAAAGAAACCAACAGTGTCAAAATTCAGACCATTTAAAAAAGGACAGTTTAACCCAAAACCGAGTTGTAAAGGGCTCGAGATGTCTGAGTTCTACTGTACTGCCTGCATTCTCTCAGATACACACTCAAGAGTAATATCTCTTTCTGAGATCATGACCCAGTTGTTAATAGTTTCATCTAGGAACTGTTTACTTTCTACAGATGTATACCCCCCCAGCCGTATGAGAAGAGACAAGGAAGGACGAGGGGCTAATGTTTACTTGTTGCTGCTTTTATCAATGTTTGTTAATAAATAATACTACAGGTAAGAGGAAAACTTGTATTTCTCATTCAGGGGTGAAATGTCCCTTCTAAAGAGAAACAAAGACAACATGTAAATATCGAACCCCCATAATGTCAGCCATTTTATGCGACAGGGTTTGCAAAATGACTTGGTTATGATCTAATTGACAATGTTTTGACAAACTACAGCCTGAAAGACGTGGCTGTCTAATCAAAGGAAGAGGGTAAGGATGAGTTGTTTCAGTAAGTGGCACTCACAAGTGATTTGCCGACCCAGTCATATTCATAGTCAAAGACGTAGCTGTTCCTGTCGAACAGATCAGTGAAGAGCTTCCTCAAGTAGTCATAATCAGGCTTCTCAAAGAAGTCCAGCCTCCTCACATAGCGCAGGTAGGTGGCCATCTCTTCTGTAGCAAAGGAGAAAACGTTAATTTGCAATCTGGTTGAATAAGACCGAAATTAAATTAAATGGAAAACAAAAGGAAACTGTTTGGTTCTACTGACCAGGGAAGCTTTCACAAAGCACTTCAATGGGTGTCGCTCGTTTGGTGTCCCCGATTTTCTGATACCTCTCCTTCAAAGTGTCCGCCTGAAAGGAGACAAGAAAAAGGGCATATTACACTCAAATTAACACAAATACACAGTGGTGGGCAGTTTAAACAAATGGGTGTAGTATTCAAATGTGTTTTATATGAGGCAATTATCTCACAGGGAGATGCAAATCCAGGTTGCTCGTTTTGAATTATTGAGACAAAACACAGATATGAAGAGCACTAAGGGCTGCTGCTTGTGTCTATTTTTCTTCCAAGACACTTCAGACTCTCACCCAGTTACCAGAAAAACAGGAACACTCGTTCAGCACAATCCTACACCACTTTTACCAGAAAATGTAGCGACAACAAATAGAAGTTCAGATCTGATAATGCAAACGTCTGTATTTGTCGCAACAACAACAACAAGGCAGAGAGATTGTGGTGTTAGATAATGCTCATCATGTTCCTTCATTGTTTCTCTAACTAGGGCAACCCTTTCTTTAACTGAAAATTGGCCCTTTAATAGTGTTTTATTCGCCAGATAGTTTATACATTTTTTTTCTTGACGGCCAATTTGTTTATTTTCAACTTTTTAATGCCGTTCTTTTTTTGAGATGTTTACATTTTAGAATTGTTTATTTCTACTCTTTTAATTTCTATGTATGGGCAATGGCTTGTTTTTTATGCTGCTGCAACGCAAACATTTCCCAACCTGAGATCAATAAAGTACATTTGATCTCATCTTTGACAGGAAGCATTCTTTTCAGGAAGTCTTCTTGGGAAACATGATTTGAATGAAGTGGTAAATGTACGTAGCACAGTGTCATTCTATAGACCCACTTTACACCAGTTCAATGCATTTAAATGGTTGCACTTCATCGACTGATCATCAGACCAGTTTATCAGCAGTCCTCACTACACTGTAGCATTGTGCTGTTATACTTCATCTGGTCACTCTACTCCTCATTGTATTTTGATGCTAACCGTCATGATGTGTGTTGGTGAAAACTAGTTTTGGCTCGAGCCACCAGACATCCCCCACAGTCATCTACCAGGAGCTTCCTCCCACATAGCAAATGTTCAGATGAGGCGTCGTGTCTTCCAGTCCTTTCTTTGCACACCTTTGCTTTTGACGCCTGCAGACAGCCCATCAACAGCAGCGATAACCTGCCCTCCTTGCACCTGTCGTCACACCTGTGTTTCCTGTCTTTTATCTCTCTCAGTGCACTGCACGCAAGGAGCTGGATGTCTTTGTTGAAATGCATAAGGGAACCCACATTTACAGTAGTTCTAAGTTTGCTTTAGGCTTTAGAAATATAAAACATTCCCAGAGGTATAAATTGTTTTTCTGAGGGTCTTTTAGGTTCAACAAACAATACAGCTGGATCAGTGGGGAGACCTTGAAATGTCCCCAGTGTTAGAGGAGGAGGATGATGATGATGATGATAACTCTTTGTCGCTGAGGTCTTGCTGATGATAGCTATAGAAGAGATAATGTACTGTAGAGTGCAGCAGGCAAAGGTGCATCTCTATTCTAAGCATTAAGAGGATTACAGGAGACTAATATAAATCAGTATGTCCCCACATTTGGATGATGTCAAATAGTACTAAAAAGTACCTTCAGGCCCTGCCAGGGAAGACTTCCTCGGAGGAAGTACATGAACATGTGACCCAGCGCCTCCAGATCGTCCCTTCTGCTTTGCTCTGGAAGAAACAAGAGAAAATGGTGTTACATGTGTGAAATAAATCAATTGTATAGCCAGCTGGTAAGGTGAACAGGCGGCTGAGCAGTATGAAATGCAACATAATTATCCAGGACTTCAAATTGTACATTATAAAAGGCTATGATTAAGCTGAGAGGGTGGGGGGCAAATGTTGTTGATGTATCCGTACACATAACTGTTAGGACTCCATTAAACTAAATGCAAATGTGAGCAAATCGTGTCAATGCAAATCTAAAGGGCGAAACAAACTACAGCCCTGCTCTAGATATGTTCTTACCTTTTCCCAAGTGTGTGTTGATGCTCATGTAGCGCGCCGTCCCAGTCAGACTCTTGTGCTCCCGGTAGGGGATGTGTTTTTTGGTCTCGGGGTCTATGTACTCTTTGGCCAGACCAAAGTCGATGATGTGGATGGTGTGTTGCCTCTTGCTTCCAGGCCGCCCAACCAGGAAGTTCTCTGGCTTCACGTCTCTGTATATCAGACTCTTGGTGTGGACGTACTCCATCCGCGTAATCTAGACACCCAATAAGCAGGTCAAGATTAGTCATTGAAAATGTCAATCGCTCAATTATCCAAAGATTTAAAATATAAAAATAAACTATTTAAAGTTGTTTTTTTTACCTTAGGCTATACTGAATACAGAGCTTTATTACACTATTACATTCAACTATAGTACAACATATTTTCAATGACTATCAAATACACATTTGTTTTCAAAACAGCAATGCTACAATGCATACCGTAGCATTCCCTCGACTATGTATATAAAGTAGCCAAAGTGGCACTTTATTTTCAGTAGATCTTAAAATAATAAAAGCTAGCTCATGTAATTATACACCTGCAGCACTCCTCCTCCCCGGGCCTTACCAGCTGTATGGCTATCATGAGGACGGTCTTGAGGGAGAAGGTTCGGTCACAGAGGTCGAACAGGTCCTCTAGACTGGGCCCGAGCAGCTCCAGCACCATGGCGTTGTATTTCCCGCAAGGACCAAAGTAGTACACCTGAGGGATTCCCTCTGTGGAGACACAAATACACACCATAAAGATACTTTTTTCACAATAACATATTCTCCTCTTGCCTGACAAGATTTTTTTTTGTAGGTTGAGAATGGACAGCACATGCTGAGAAAAGCTCCAGAAACCACTCAACCATGGGCATCTGGGATATAAGGGTGCAGAGAGCAACATGAAAAAGCTGCTGAGGTCATCACAGTGTTGTAGCATAAAAATGTGGTCGGTGCACTGTGACTTTTACTTTTGTATTTCCCAAGAACTAATTTCTTCTGTGTCATCTATGCGTCATGAGCCGTGGATGGAATGTAATACTTAATATTTTCAAAACATGGTGACCTGGTTTAATACTTGTACTGATACAATACATATCATTATTAGTGAGGAGAATATGCAAGTGGAGTGAAAGGCGCTTCAAGAATCATCACCCTGGTGTGATAAGAAAGTGTGTGAGTAGACTCTTCATTGTCAAAACTGCAGCAATGACAAAGTACACTTCAGTTGGCTTCCCTCAACATGTTTGTCAGAAACAGGCATGGCCTACAGTTGCTTTACCTCTAAAGTAGGATTCAAAGGAAAGGTGTCTAAAGAAACATCAGTGACAGTTAGCAGCTCACTGTGAACAACTGTAAATAGCCTTTGCTACTAGAAACCACCACACCCATTTTGTGGTAATGTGTATGACTTCCAAAGAATGTGGATGGATCAACATGGCTGTTTGTGCTTTCTTAATGTCATGTTTTGCCAGAGGGAATTGTGGGGCGTGGGTATATTTAAACTCAAATGTTGTACTAATTGGGTGCAAGGTAGGGTACTAAAACATCAAAAAAAACAAAGAGTCTCAATGACCTAATGCTGCTGTTTCCTAACGTCTGCCTGACTCAGACTAAACAGCTTTGTCACAATAAAATGATCTGCCAAGGCCTGTAAGGAACCAGCATCGTATTTCACAAACACTCTTGAATAACATTCAACAGCTTACTGGAAATAGATAAGTTATGCTACGTAGACACAAAAAAAACACTAATTCATCTAAGAGTTTTCAGCCCTGGTGTATTGAAATGTCAGAGGCACTTTCTCAAGCATCTTTTTGCCTGAAAATTCACTATCTTCTGATACACTTAGAAAAGTTGTAGCCTATCAAGACTTCCAATACGAGTATTGGAAATGTTTCCGATACAGCTTAAAATCCTAGATCGGGTATCAGCAAGAGATATCAAGTTATCATATCATCTATCAGTTATTTAAACCAACATATATAAAACTACAGTTGCCACTTGCTACCTGATTCATACTGTGGATTTTGTTTTAACCCACAGGTGTCAGACTGGTACTCAGTATTGGCTGATAAGCAAGTTGAGATCTTTCAACGATCAAAACTACCTGGCATCTCCCTGAAAGCTCACTAACAATAAGACACCACATCAGTGCTGCTTCAAGAGCAGGCGGAGCAGTGAGAACTGAGAGTTACACAAGAAAATAAAGAGAATCGATGAGACAAAGATCCAGAAACAAAAGGAGACGGGGAACGAAAGAATGGGCAAGCACATTTCTACTGGTCTGTAAGAGAAATTAATCAAAGTTTGACAGAGATAAATCAGAGTTAGGATTTGTAAATATTCAGTTTTGATCCTGTCAGCTGCTAGCCAGGGGAGAGTTTACAGTCAGATGTATCTGATGTACCTCTCAACATCAGTCCAACAAGACACACTGCACATATGCAAACTGACGCACACACTCCCATGCACGCACACACAACACCTGTCTAATCTTTAGTCTCTATGATGTTCCCAGTAATGAAGCCCATGACAGATGAAGCAGTGACAAGAGATCATTGGAACGGCTGATTCATCAAAGCCTGGCCCAAATCTAGAGGGCATTCAAAGCACAGTCATCACGAGAGGAAAAGCACACTGTGTAATATCATCTTCAGCTGGTGGATGTGAGCAAAGACTAGAGGTTTACGGCAGCTGTAAGCACCACACAGCACATTTTGGGGGTTATTTCTGTCTAACCTTAATATATTATATAGTGACATAACTTACTTAGAATAGCTCTGCAGAATAGTATATGCGAGATTATGCGAGATGTGATGATTGTCACAAAATTAACCATAATAACAAAACATTGAAATCAATATCGAATCCGGTAAATTGTCTAACACGGAAGCACTTCAAAATCAGGATGATAAAGCATGACTGCCAAACATCATTTGATCAGACAACACTTGGGATGTCTTCATGAGCCAAATAACCCTTTCAGCAGGAGGCTTCTCTCAATGATAAACAATAGGAGAACTCAATTAATTCTGTATCAATAAATGCCTATAATTCTTTAGCATAAAGTAACATCAAAACAACATCCAACTGTGTTCAGCATTATGGGATATGTTCTGCCTTTCATTGCACACAATGTCAGCTGTGCTCTGACCCCCGCTGTCTCGAAAACACGAGTCAATCCAACCTATTGTATCTGCAGGAAGGCCTTCTGAGGGGACACAGTAAGAGGGGAGGCTGCATCATGGCAGCTGAAGACAATGTTGCCCTACAATGAAATGTCAGAGTTAAGGGCCAGAGCAGAGAGGGCTAGAGCAGAGAGGAGGAGAGGACAGGGGATGCGTATTAAAGATTTAGATCATGAGTCGAGTGCACTGAGAGGAGAAGAAGACGTGACTTCCATTAGGCCCAGTGCTCTGGAGATGTTCTCACAAGGCTGAAATGTGATCAGCACGGCACAGACTGAGCCTGGACCTGTTAATGCAACATAGCTCCTGAGCAGAAGTATCCAACAAAATGCCAATTAGCTGAATATCTAGTAAGGGAATTTACAACAGCAATTCCTCTTTTGTAAACAATTTTATTTACCAAATAAAGGCTCGTAACAACACAATTATTTCAATTTAAACTAGGGCACTTTCCTCTAAAAGGCAAAACAGCTCTCTTCATTCATTGCGAGCAGAACTAGTCACAAGAAGGTTCCCTATCGGATGGACTAGACCTTTTGTCTTTGAAATTATTCATGAGCAAGTTGTCATTCTTTATATAAACCATTGCACCGCTGCATAATGTTCCAGTTGGCCTAATTTGCTGTTTAAATTGCATCCTTTCCATTGTGATTGCTGTTCAAATGCGATGCTGAAATGACTCATCATTAAGCCCTACAAATAGACATGTGGTCAAGCCACCATTAGAAAAATGGAATACTGGGAAACAATAATAATGTCACAATAAAAGGAACCCGTTTTAGTCACTATTAGCTTGCCATTGGGAAATGTGACATTTACAACATGCTCTTTTTATAAAATCATAGCAACAATATTCATAAATAAAAATAGTAATTGTCAGCATCTGTTTTTATTAATTGTTTATTGTTAATTGCTATTTGTTTATATGGTGCACCTATCTCCATGGCCTAGCTTCTAGTGAGTTGTTAAAAAATAATCTTATCAATCTAGCCTAAAATAATTCTACAACTGAGGTCCACACAAACAGTTTTTTTTTTTTAATCAGTAAAGCTTTGACATGGCATAAGAATCCATAATTTGTATGAAATAATATCATCAGCATTGGGCCTTTGTCACTGACCAGGCATATCGTGCCCTTAAAAGCCTTGGTGGGGCTCATAAATATTCACAGGCATGCTGATGATTATCAGCACTGAATCATTTTCAAGGGGGAACCCTTCTTATGTGACACTCATTAACAGACACGCAATAGTGCATCCATGACTGCATGAAGTCAATTAGACACCAAAACAAGTTACACAGTTTGACCATAAAATCAATCAAAGTTTATTTATATTTGTCTCAGGGGACGTTACAGTAGGGCTGCTCAATTAATCGTATTTTAAATCGCAATTACGATTTTGGCTTGCAACGATTATGAAAACAACATAATCGAAATAAAATGATTTTTTTTATTATTATTTTGTACAGGTTTTTCAGTTGAATTATACTTAAAGTTCAGGTTAATCAACTGTTAAAAACATACTGTTCAATTTTTTTTTTCAATAAATAGATGTTTTCAAAGTAAATGCATAATCGTTTTTAATAATCGTGATATCAATTATTGACCCAAATAATCGAGATTATGATTTTTGCCATTATCAAGCAGCTCTACGTTAGAGTTTGTAAAGAATATGAATACGACACCCTCTGTCCTTAGACCCTCAAATCATCTCTTCAGCCAATCCGCTGACAACAGTAGCTACGATACAAAACACTCTTTACCATAAATCAGCCCATTATTTAGAGCTGGTATTACTAATTAGAGGAACAAAAAAATGACGGGTTTACTGTATATTTTCCCAAATATCTGTGAACTTGCAAGCAGATCCAGCTAGGATGTGTTCAGGACAGGAGAGAATTAACAGTGTGCAGATAAGCTCCTCCTGGGCGTTAAGCGCCGAGTCGTCCATGCTGTGACATTTTTGAGGCTCTTGGGTGCAGGACTAACAGGGTCACATGTCCCCATTTAGCAAAGTTGACAACATAAGTACTTTTAATCTGTTGCCTTGACTCCTCCCATGCTAGACAGACAAGCCAGCCTTTTTGTCATATCACCGTGGAGCTAGACAGTCCTCAGCTGGAGACCTGCTTGAATGTGTACTATTAATGTAGCCCATATTTCTGTTCAGGAGGAGAAACACACCATCTTCTAAACATTATGAACATTTGGATATCAACATGTGTTTGGATAGGATATGCCCAAATATCCCGATGCAGATCTTTGTATGAGGGAGGTTGAGTTATGTAGGTCCTATTTTTTTATTTTTTTTTAAAAGGTATTTTTTGGCCAGCGTTCCAGACAAAACAGGAGACAGAGGGGAGGACATTGGCAGCATTTAGCAGAATTCACCACCTGTTCAATCTGAATTTTTTTTGGATTATTTCAGAAAAGCAGCAGGATCTTACCAACGATTTGGAAATGCAATATATCTTATCATGTCTCTATTTTTGAAAGATTTTTTAAATATCATATGACAGTTGTCAAAGGTCAACATGAAATCACTAGTACTGCATGAACATTATGCATAATAGAAACAGTGTATATATATTATAATATGATATATTATAATATAGGGATTTCTCTATTTAAATAAATACATCATGATACTTATAGGCTATGCTCCAGAATACGTCATTCAGAATCTTTAGATTTAATGTTGTTAGATATCAATTAAGCAAATCGATTTAGAGTGAATGAAAAAAGTCATTTTAAAACAATACATCATGTGCACGCTTTGATGCTCGCAGTATTACAGTGTGAAAATTGCCATGGCTGGGTGTAAGTGCAAACCACAAGTTTGCATACTATGTTGTTGATATAAGAGATAGAAGTATAATGTGTGAATGCAACAAGTGTGCGATTGAACAACAGGGAAAGTGATAGAGTGGATGAGCTGTTAGGGATCGTTGCAGAGAATAAATAAGCAGTTAAGTTGAATCGATTTTATTAAATGTACAATCACACATGTAAACAATTAAATCTGATCATTCTTCTGATAAAGGATCAGGGAATAATATCGATGGTGAGTTTCCTACATCCTTTACGGTGTTAATGTGTCTCATACGCAGGGAGCGAACTCAATCTACATCACTTTATATTTTTGTTTCACCATGTAAAATGTGCCTGCTAATTGGAGTGAAATTTAGAAAGTGTGTTTTGTAAATCTTGTAATTAATGTTGAATTGTAGTTCACATCCGTAAAAAGATGTGCAGCAGGAACTAGAATCATTTAGTCGAGTCACGAATAGTGTAATTATGTTCAGCATGCATTTGGAAACAGCGTCATGTCTGCTTGTTCTATTATTCACCTGTGCCTGTGACTTGTTGTGTGGAAGGGCTAGGAATGTGTAATGTTGCACAACCCGAGTCTTGCGTTAACACGAGTAAGGCTGAAGGTCAGCTGTGGTTTTATTAGAAGATGGTGAGGATGTGTTTAATGCACCAGAGGAAAAAAACCAAAGCCAGATAGAGACAAGACTGTACGACAGGAATCCTCCGTATTATCACGTAAAATGGTAGAGGAGATGACAATTACAGTTACCTGCCTCGTATGGTAACTTGACAGTGCAGTCAAAGTCACAGATCGCTCGCCTGGTACAGAGTGCTATGAAAATGATGGTGGTAAAAAACACCCATCTCTCCAAAACATATACGAGCAGTCCATTATTAGACAGGCAAAAACAAATGGTGTCTGATCCCACCCACATACTCCAACCAGAATTCTAGCTCCTACCTTCTGGTAGAAGGTTCAGGGTTCCCAAGAGCAGGCTGAACCGCTATAAGCACTCATTCCTACCTATGGGCGATTGAGCTTCTTAACATTCACATGTAATGAAATGTACTTTTGAAAAGTTGACCATGAGGGTAGTGCAATAGGTCGCCATTGTCAGTGTGTGCGTCTGTGTATTGTGTTTGTTCAAACGGTGTATGACTGATGATATGTGTATGTCTCTTAATGTCCACTATGTTTGTATATGTACATGTATGCGGAACTGCAAGACGGAGTCCAGAACAAATGTCCTTACGGGGACAATAAAGTATGTCGTATCGTATACTTTTGAGTTTATGTGGAGGCGTGCATTCGGTAACATTTGCTCAGAGATCAAAATGACAGCCATAAAAAAGGAACCACACCCTGTAAGCAATGCATGCTCGATAATTCCCCTGCAATCTTCAGGCAGCACACAGTCAATCAGGGAGCCAGAGGATACTGTGGGAAGCTATCCAAGTAGACACACCATAATGGCCTGACTGCTTTTAGAGGGCCATCTAAAAATAGTCAAGGACTGCCCCAATGCCCCACCTCCTTATCAACAGAGGAGGGCTTTTGCTCTGGCATAAGGAGCCAGGCATGTGTCACAAAATTAGACCGCGACACACATTTGTCATACTGGGGAGGATCACTGCAACAAGAGTCTTACAAGGATATATGATATTTGATTTTTCAAATCTAATTTTTATACAATGATCATCAAGTACATACCCAAACAGAAACTCTCCAAAAGGGTCCAGTGCTGTCCAGCGGAAAAACTGAGAATCTGACAGAAGCTTCCCATGGCTCCTTAGGTCTGACTACAAACTCTACATTGCTTTCCATGCTACACTGAAAGTTATCGGTCAGTCTTCCCCAAGATGCCAGATCATATGTGCCTTTTATTAACATTGCTCCTGACTTCCAAGTTGCATATTTAAATAAAATGGATGAGAAGGTTAAAGCAGAATTTGAAGGAGAAGTTATCCCTTTAATAGACTAAGTTAGCCTACTATAATTTAAGCTAAAACAACATGTAATAACATGTCAATTGGGACATGCATTTTGTTAATTACAAAGGACAAAAAAAGAACTAATGGCGCATTACTCTAAGTAAGAGACTGCACAGACGTTTTTATCTTGTCGGTATGGCTAAGTAGTAGGGACATGTTTGCAATTTGTGTCTGCTTTTAAGAGCCCAGCCCAATCGACACATGCATAGACACAAACTTACACAAACATGACAGGTGTGCACTTTCCAAAAACAGCCAGCCAGGACGTGATGAGGAAATAAATGAAGTCCCAGTTCCTCCCAAACATCTGACTCTGCCTCTTCTCTCACTCTCTGTAACTAACTGACCAGCCAGACCAGATCAAAGAGCTGCTGCCCTGGAGCCACTGCAGCTATGCATCATAGCACATTAACATGTTCGGCAGGGCTGTATGAGAGAAACACTCGGGTCTATAGAGGTGGGATTAGAAGCCAGAAAGCAGGCTCTCCTTGCAGCCATTGGCTTCCACAGATGTAGAGACACACGCTGTGAAATTTGGCCTAAAGTAAGATGGAAGCTGTTGGAGTTTGTGTCTCTGTTTCCCAGAGCTTTTGAAAATGCATTTTCTCTTTTCCATTTTGCCTTACATCCACACCAAGCTGGCAATTTTCAAATAAAAAAAAGTTATTTTCCTGATTAGATGATTTGAATCTGAAAACAGTGGTCTCACGTTGTAGAGCAGAGAGGGAACCGAGCTTTTACAACAAAAAAACATGATCTATGCTAATTGAATGACAACAGAGGAAGGTCAATCTTATTTGTACATGCAATATAAAAACCTAAAGTAAGTATTCACCCATGTCTGTTTCTTAAAAATAAAAGGCAGAATAGGAGATGATGGAGTGCTTTCTCTCTGTCCAGCCAAATGGTGTGTGAAAGGCCCATTTACATTTAACTCATCGTTATGATGCTGTCTATCAGAGAATAATAATAAACATATCTCTTACCTGAATTTCCCAACTGTTTGTAAAATCTATACTCCAAGTGGAGCTGCGGCGCCCTGGACTTTATAGGTTCCTGAATGAGAGAAGAGAAAGCAAAGTTAGTGTGAAATATGACATCACTTACAAATGAGTTAACGTCCAACACAGTATACTTCTACAATGACATGTTGGCCGCAATTCAAATTGTAGGGGGGAATCATTTTCAATAGAAAAAGATAGTGCCGTGTATATACAGTATATAAAAATAAGGATAATAAGCTAATTTGAAAGAAAGTCATTTTAAAAACATGAATATTTGAACAGCTTTCAGTTCACACAATGCCGAGGAATGAAAGATTCATTACACAAGTTGAGAGCTTCACCGCAAGGGAAGAAAGTAGTCCGTGAGTGACAGCCTTTGCATACAAATCACCATGATTAACCCGGCCTGCAATAAACTTAAATACCTACAGTACAATGTTAATTTCAATGCCTAATAGAACTGAAATTAGGTCTGAGGTCCGACTTATGGGATGTGAGAGGATAAAGAGCAGTTCCAGCTGGTCAACAGCAGGCTTTTCTGATGACATGGCGATAATGAACCCACTTGGACATATTGTTCATTATATGGCTAGCTCCAGCTTTACAACCTAAAATGTAATCTGATTAACGGCCACTCCTATGATGACAAGGGCATTATGGACAAACGTGGAGAGGATAAAACAAACAACCAACTTAATTCCTTTCTTTAATCTTCAATAGCTGTGACACAGACTGTGTTAAACCCTATGGCGACAATAGCAGTATGGGGTTCCCCTTTTCACACACTGTCAACCAGCTGGCTGTACATGGGTCCAAAGACGTAGCCTACATTATCCTGTTGGTCAAATGAGTGGAATAAAGTCTGATATGCCAAAGTGCATGAAGCATCCATACATAACATTTACCTCTAAGTCAGTAAAATGTGAATGTTTCGACCGTTTGAATTAAAATATAAGTATAAGTAAATAGAGTTAGTAATTCAAGGCTAAAGGATGGAGATGACTGTAGCCCAAAACATTGAGTCAAGCAACTTCTCAAGAGGTGCTTAAAGTAAGATTTAATCTTAAAAAGTGTTTCCCTAGAGCATCTAATTCCAAGGCACTTCTATTTTGAATGGTATGAAATAAAAGCTGTTAAGCTCCCACAGTCACTCCATTAAGCCTTTATTAAATCAGGAGCATTTTCTCTTCTGCTGCCCTGCTACCGCGTAGGAGTGCAAACACAAAGTATGGGCCTTGCTTTTGTGTTGGAGATACTCAGTCCAATATGCTAGACAATGATATAACATTTGCAGATATTACCTAAGGTAAGAATTCACTTTGAAACTCTTTGATGGAAGTGAAAGAATTAATGATAAAAAGGAGAATATCATAAAACAATCGGATATAAGGTTAGATGTTATAAATGGCAACAAACATCTGGCAAACACTACAGGAAGTATGAAGTCTCAAAAAAAAGAAATGATGTATGTTGAAGAGATGCAAAACTTATAACAATTTGACTAAAGACTTCAAAGATGTAATGGAGACGATTGATGTCAACATGGAAAACTTTGCATTGCTACACCTATGGTTAATCCTGCTGCTCCAACATGAGAAGTAAGCAGCCAGTGTGCATGCTGGGGGAACGTCATTAGGAGTGGAAACAGGATGGTAATACAGAGGAGGAGAGACTGTAGGAGGAAGACACGTGACCAGTTTGGGAGGCGGAGCGGGGAACTGCTGCATCCACCTCCCACATCAACATGAACAGCAAGCAAGTCTCTCACAAGTCAGGCTATGCCAACGAGGAAAGAAATCATAAAATATATAAATAATGAGTAAACAGATGGCATAAAACCACAGGACCCTTTAAAAACAGCTTACAATAGGAAACTGAGGCTTATGGCAGCTTTATGTACTTAATAGTCAACTGTATTCCTAGCAGATGGACTACGGTTGTGTAAATGACCAAGCTGCAAATATCTTATGCAACATCTTGCATATGATGAGAAATGTTCACAGAGCATTTCCCTTAACAAATAATCTTTGATCTGCGTGCTGACATGTTCCTCGGACCCAGCAGGTCTGCACCCATGGTAATGTTTTTGGGCGCTAGGAGTTGCTTTTTAACGGTCCTGACAATAACCACGATATTTAAATATATATATAAGATATCACTTTAGTAATGCCATATCACAATACTGTGTGAATAATCTGGCCTATTTTAAGACAAAACAAACAATAACCCAAGTTGAAGATACATTTGACTGCATTGTATTTCTATAAAGATTAAGATAAACATGTAAGTGTGAATTATTTTTACAAAGATGTCATGGTGTCATGCAGAGAGCAGCTTTCTGCCAAGTGTGCTGTCCTGTGTCGAGGGCAGCTGACCTGCAAACTAGAAGTGCCCTTCCCTTCTGCTAACCCACCTCAGCTGTTACATACTACAATTATAAAGAAAGAAATATGATCGGTTTTGCCTTTATGTAAATAGTTTTGGTCTGATTGATTATATGCTTTACTGCCACTTACTTCATCAGCATACATATAGAAAAGTAAGCCTACATGCTACCGGAATTGCAGTTCCTGGCATTTTTAATCCTATACGTACATGTCTGTGCATGTAAACAGAACGCCTCACATGTTACAATGTAGGACCACAACAACCAATCAGATACCACCATTTCTACAGCCACCCTCATTGGCTGGCTTGCCTGTGAAATCTCAACGAGGATTGCAGGGAAGTTGGACATGAGCACATATACTGACCTACACTATCTGCTGCTCACAGCTAAAAAGCTTAGAGATTTGTCGATATCAGTGCTACGAGCCAACACTGCCTTAGTGGGATCAAATCCTGTAATTACAGCAGCCTGTGGACGGGTGTGAGATGAAATGTTACATGCCATTTCAAGGATCTCTCTTAGAGTGAAACGCTGAAGCTTGTACCAATATATGATTACGTCGTGACGGATTAGGTGGTGGTTTCTGTGTTTTAACTTGTGGTAGCCTCAGTACAGTTGTGTGGATGGAGCGAGCCATCAGCCCCACAGAGTCCTCTTACTGGGATTAACCAACTCTGCATATGATGTCATCTGGGCTAAATCTGATCTCTGCTCCAACACAGCTGAGAAAGATCACATTTGACCTCAGTAACAGGATGGAGTTATGACCACCAAATGAAGGGAGGAACGGGAAAACTGTGAATGATAAAAGCAAGAGTGGACTGCGGCTGAAAAAACATGTTTTTGTAAAGATTCAGCTTACAGTAAAAACTTAAAATGTATACAAATGTCGAAATGTCAACAAAATGTGATATTGTGGATGCAAAACAATACTGTGAAAAAAAATCCAAGCATTTAATTCTGTTGATTTCTGTGGTCCTAATTATTCCTCTTGTGACCTAAAACATAAGAGTAAAAAAACAATAAGAGTATTTTGCTGCAGTCTTCACTCTTGTTTGTTGGAGTCTTTAACCACAGCTTATCACAGACAAAACAAAAAGGGCACTCCAAAATAATGAAAAAAAAAGAAAGATAATCACAGTTTCATAAAAGATTAATAATATTAACAATTTTAAAGTGAACATTTTATAAATACACTGGTTACAGCTTAGTTACTTAGGGATTAGTTTTTTTTCTTTCCTTTATCTTCTTTCGTAGTTTATATAGTAAATGGAATCATTTTAGTTTTTTAACCTTGTTCTGACATTTTAGAACCAAACGAATAACCTGTAGTCAAGAAAAAAATCACCACGCTACATATTGAAAACACAAGTAGTTACCTTATAGCTAACTGTCTACTGATGGGACTTCACCAATATGCCAACATTCTAAAATGATTTATCTCATAATTCAGTTGCAAGGATGTACTATAGAGACAAGTTGTGGTGAAATACAGAGAGACTTCCTTTTTACCAGACAAACAAAATCCTGCATTTCAAACATTGTATAAGCTTGGAGTAAAGCAGACAGCTGCGATTATGTAATGTAACGCATAAAAAAACCATCTGTGTTGTTCATCAACTGTAAAGGCAGTGTGACATTCAACGTGTCCATGCATATGTCTATGTGTGTGCCATGTTCAGGGGAACAGACCCAGCATTATGCATCAGGCCCAGAATAGACCCTGACCTTTGCCTGACACCCAGTAAACCATTTCACAATATGCAACTGGCATATGACTCCCCTCATCTTAGACAGCACAACTCAAATGTCAACATAGTGCATCTCTACTCAGCAGCCTCCATAGAAGTATCAATGATTCTAACTGCTAACTGTGAGGCTAACACAAATGGAGAAGATTGAGGTGTGTGTGTGTGTGTGTGTGTGTGTGTGTGTGTGTGTGTGTGTGTGTGTGTGTGTGTGTGTGTGTGTGTGTGTGTGTGTATTAGTGTTGCACGGTTTACCGATACTTGAAAGGTACCGCGATACCCTGCCGTTAAAAACGTTACGATTCCTCCGTTTCATTACTATCGGTACTTTAAGAATGACGGGGGAAAAGTACTCCGGTGAGAAAGCGCCGTTTTAATAAGAGCCGTGTGTGTTCAGCGCACTGCTTCCACTCCTCCCTGCACTGCAGCCGTGCCTGCAGTCCCTCCCATCTCAAGCACGCTCTAAGGTCCCCCCCTCTCTCGTGCACGCGCTAGCTGCCAGAGCATGTGAGGAAAGACGAGAAGCAATGGCTGCAAGTGGGACTGCAATGCGCTCGGCTTTTTGACAAAAAAGCACGGCAACAGCGAAAAACGAAAAAGGTGTTTATAGATGCATGCTTAATTGTATTTAAGTACAAAATTCTAGTCATTTATTTAATGTATTGAACTGCATTGTCTTAAAGTTTGTGGTTATGGTTATGGTGTGAAAATAAAGCCAATAATTACATTCATAAGTTTTGTTATGTTATGCGTGTGAAATAAGCACTTACATTTAAGATTGTTCCCTTTTTTTAAGAAAAGTATCGAAAAAGAATCGGAATCGCAATTCTTGACTTGGTATCGGTATCGAAACCAAAATGTTGGTATCGTGACAACACTAGTGTGTATCTCTTTATGATTGGAGGTGTCTATGTT